GGGGAGACAAGTTTTCAATTTTAGAGGGAAGAACTTTTACATAAACTTTTGCTCGTCGTACGTGAAGAATAATTCAACGAAAAAATATATATGTATTTCGGCTCACCTCAGAACAGACAGGTTGGGGAGTTTTTTCTTAACTATGAAGGTATTTTCCACAAGTCTGAATCTCGTAGAGGTTGGTACTGGTGACTTAAAAAAGGCATTTTGAAGCAAATGATTCCTTAGGTATTTGTACCATCCCCAAACCCTGTACACGGCAAAACTAAGGAAAGTGTGGAACTTTCATCACTCGGATAGCAAAGATACGATGAAAAGAAAAAAGGGAAAATCAAAACAACTTATGCGTGTGTCTCACCGTTGTGTGGTTTAGGTCCGTGTGAAGTTTTCGATGTGGCTCCATGGACGAACACACATCTGCAAATGAGAAAATTTTCTGACCGACTAAAAGACTTGGGAGAACTTGTTCAGCTTTTCCCTAACATAGCCAAAGATGACGCTTTTGGTCCGTACTATACCAATGATGGTAAGTAAGACTATAACTACACTGTATCATTAACAGAAAAGGACATGAAAATACCTATGGAGTAGTTGTGTCGTAAATTGCAGTGAGGTTTCTTTTAGTAACTACCCTTGCCGCCGTTCAACCATATGATATTCATATATTTGTTTTAACAAGTATTGGTAGTTTCCTTGCTATTTTGGGTCAATGCCATTATCAAAAGACTGAACATCCTTTGACAAAATCTGGCTCTGAGTAGTTCTCACACCGCGACGCAAAACGTTCAGCCGACAGACTAAAGTTTCTGGTCTACCTAGAGATACCTCAAACATTTCAATAAATATATCTTATTAACCAAGCGCGAGGGCCGCACTGGGAGAATATCGGCCCGAGGTCTTGACAATACGGACCGAGCGCAGCGAGGTCCGTACAAAAAAGACCGAGGGCCGGTATTCTTCCAGTACTGTCCCGAGCAAGCTTGGTTAATAAGAGATTTATTATACGACTGAAATTCAAAGGGACACAAGTGCGGTATCATTCGGGACCATTTGGGACAGTGCCCGGTCCAATACTGAGAGAACATTGACCGGCAATAGAGCATTTTGATTGGTTGATTTTAGTTATTGGCCCTCTGACTGCCCGAGTCGTGTAATAATTATTGGTATTATCCAACTACACTCCGTAGAGTACGAATAACGCCCAAGACGAGTACCAATATCACACAGTATTTGTACTCCAGAGAACCAGTTAGACAGATTTTCTCGCATCGCGCAAGCGACGAATTGGATTGAAGTTACAAAAAAAAAAGCGGACGATTTAAACCATTTTTCTGACGACGAAGAGTCGGAGTGGCTGGCGAATATTGATCCAAGTTTATTAGACAAATCGAACGAAGAAAAGCAGTGAGACGACAATGAAATTTCATCATTTATTGAAGAAAATAGAAACAGCAACATGACAACGCGCCAATTCCGTTCCGCTTCGCATACTTCTGTCACGCACTCCTCGTAATATATACATCCGCGAAATTCGCCCGCGCTGAAATATCAGTTCGGCGTGTTGGATAATTAGTAACTTATTAATCGTTTTGGTGGGTCGTATCGCTGAGTATTGAGGTCCATAATCGCCCGCAGATCCATCTGAAGACAATAAGTTTCGTTCTCAGTTAGTGAAAGTAATCGAACAGCAGTGGTTGAAATCCTGAGACATTTCAACTGAATACTCCTTTTCTCCCTTGGAATGTATTTTAGAAAACCAAGATACTGATAATAATGATTATCAGCAAACTGTACTGGCAGTGAGGCTGGCAGGGTGAGTAAGCTAGTAGTTTAGAAAAGATGAAATAATTACACTTCCGTACCAAGTCACTGTAGTTAAATAATTTTTATTTTTTGTTTATTTTCGTTTAACTGTGACGTCGGTAACTCCAGTTGGCCAAGTAGTAGTTATAGACAAAACTAACATAGACGCATGATCATACAAGTTGCAGTGATCAGTGTTTTTTAGGGCTGGCCTGAATCCGATCTACACCTCTTTTTACGACCAAAATGACTTCTTTTGAGTCCATCTACAGTTTTAATTTACTCTAGATAGAAAGATCAGATTGGAAACTGCTAAGTGTTTTAATATCTGTTTCTTTTTTTCATTAATCGTCACCTAGGAAACAGGGCGGCAAGAGTCCTATGTACCCGGCTGGAAGGGACTCTACCATGGTAAGCGTCTTGTGATGTGTTTCAGCTGGTTACGTTGTGCTTTGTAGCTTCTAGAGAGAAACCATTGTACTTTTACTCTTTCAACTAAGGTTTCGACCAAACTAGAGTTGAGTGATAAAATTCAGATAACCATTGGCTTTGTTGAATGTCTTGTTTCTGTTAGTGGTTTCGAATGTCTCCGCAGTATGTGCAAGGGTCTTTTTTACTGAAACTGCTAAGTAACTTATATTTTCATAACTGCCTTCATTGTCTAATTGCCGTAGTAATTTCTTTGGTCGTTGCCTAGGAAACTCCGCCATCAAGTTCGTATCCATTTCACGGCTTTGCAGATTTGTCATTGTACCCAGGTTCCCCTGCCTCCCCGCCCTCGCCCCAGTCTGTTGCCAGCTCTACCGTTCTGGATGGAACAGAACTCGGTCTAGGTAACCAGGAAATTGTTGGGGACTATGGACAGTTGGCGCCCGAGCTGGCGTTGAGCAATGTGTTCCTGAGCGGCCTTCAGGCTTATAGTGGACCATCTAGTTATATGGCGGCCATGGCAGCCGCGATGGGTGAGGATTTTGATCTCTCTATTTTAAATGACATAAATCCTGCGCAGCCGCAGTAGGGGCTAGTTACGAACCTTGGAGACAGTTGAGGAAAGGAGTCGTTAAAAAATTGACGTGTGTTGAAGTTGTACAGCACTGGTCCACTCTTGTAGTCCAAGGGGATGGAATATAAAGGTTTGCAAATCCTTGTTTCTAGTCCCATCCCAAAACAAAATGAGAAAAGTGAACGTAATTCTTTTCAGAAACAAAGCTCTTTTCCCAGGCTCAAGAGGGACCAAAAGTTTTGTTTTTCATTGTGTCAATTTTGCGACTGTTCAGTTTTGATCGGGATTTAAAACCTGCGTCAACAATTTAGCTAAATGTAGATGTGGTAAACAGTTTTTCAAGGTACTATCCTCTCGATCCATGTGCATTGTCTTAGTTTGTCCCAGCAAACCGGGAGCACTATACTGCATATTTTAAAACCTGGCACTCGCCAGAGTTTGCTTCGGGGAATAGTTAAGATGGCTGTTCTGTCATCCATTTGGCCAAACCCAAGGATCGCACTTAAGATACGTATTTTGAGTGAGTTTTTGTCGACGCCTATCGTACAAAACTGAATTAGCTAAAAGGCGTGGCACGCACGACTCACAAAATCACTTTTCTTTCATAGTGTGTTGTATTGTATTATTCAAAGACACCGATTACTATGCTGGTTGTTCTTTGGGATAGAATTATTACCAAAGAGTGAACTCAAAGTGTCCACGGCCTTTGGCTATTTATTAAAGGTTATACGCCGTTGTTTTCTTTAATTTTTTTTTATACCGCCAGGTAGTTTTTTAGGGATAACGGCGAATATGAGAAAAACTGGCCGCAATGTTTTCTGATGTTAGGACGGTTTTGCGGGCGGAAACCGAGGAAAAGAAATCATTTTCAAAGGCGAAAACGTTTTAAATTTATTTGCTCTTTTAACTCTTAGCTGTTTATTTGAATATTACGTGGTATACGGGATTTAATTTCTCTTTTGGCCTAAATATATGTTTGTTACTTAACTTAAGTTCGTCCTAATCACAGCGAGTGACTCATCCCAGGGCTGTGGTCTAGCAGCGCCCGGTGGCCTCTGGCGCCTTACATTTGTTCTTGGGCGACCCAGGATTCTTAGTTTTTTCATAAAAAGCATATTCTGAGCACTCTGGATTTCACAGTTTCTGAGCACTGGGCTCTCTTCAATTTTTCTTAGAGCACAGCCTTGCATCCATTCCACCACAGAATATATTATAGTTATAAAATATTGAGCAAATATTAAGACATTTGCATTAGGCACTTTTTTTTTTGTATCATTACAAGGTTAAGTGACAGGTAACGTAATATATTGATAAGACTTGAAGGAATTATTAGTAATTGGAGTAAGTAAATTTGAGGCAGATACGCAGCAAAGTTTTTTGTCGTTCTCCAAGGTTCGTAAACTATACCTTAACTCCTGGATATATGTCAGTTAGGTGTGTGCAGATGTTAATTCCTATCTTAGGACTTATACAACACAAAAGTTTTATGGTTACTTTGATTATATGGTTTTCTTATCTTTTATGTTTCTTAATGGAACATCTTCGGAACTAAACTGGCGGAATTCTTTAGGGTCTACTACAGTGATGTGGTTCTTAAAGTTTATAGTTTTATGTTGTTTATTGAGTTCTGAGTTTAAACTATATTGTATTATCAGCATGAACGTGTGTTGCTAGTCCGGCCCCATTCTTAATATGATGTACCCTGTAAAAAATGTTTGCTCTTAAAGTGATTGACAGACGATATGCTAGACTTTTGCCTTGAAGAGCCTCTCGTGCAGAGGTCAATCCACAGTCAAGGAAGGGTTACGAGAGTTGTGGCTTTTCGTGTCAATTCGGAGACCTGTTTCCTGTTTATTTTTGGATAGAGATTATTGATACCAGGAGGTTTCATATGAATACTGATGAGATTTTGAAGTAACTGGTGGTGCTCTTTGTCTCTCAGATGATCATAGCGTAAATTATTTCTTGTTAAAGGGGGTAAGTTTCTAAAGAAATCGTGGTGCTATGACGGTGGTTCGTTCAACTGAATTGTTAAAAACAAATTACATGATTTCTTAAATGGCAGAGAATGATGATTATTTTAATTTAGCCTTAACGGAAGTTATCATGCAAGGAAAGCTTTAAATGTTTTTGCCCACCAACAGTAACAGTTTTAACAGAGTCCTCTTCTTGTGCAACATTTGCCACTGTAAAGATCATTTGCATTAATTTTCTTTTGTAATCATTTTAAACGACCTATGGAGGATGTTCATTGCTTTAGGAATTTAGAATTTATGTAATTAAAAAAGCTAGAGGATCGTAGTATTTGTAAACGAAGACAGAAGTCAGCTATTAAATATAAAAATTTGAATTCTGGTTGTTGTACTCTTTCTCGGGAAAAATAAAATGCATGCAATTGGGAAAGGCCTCATCCATGGAAAAATTTGATAACGAAAGTGATCTGCCTGAGTGAATTCTTGCTGATGCATTACTTGATAATGATGTTGGTTTTGCCTTTTTTACCCGCGGAAAATTATGTTCGTCCGAGACGTGTTCCCAAACTGATCTCACTGTGGCTTTTACACTGGCCGACAAAATTTAAGTGAACGCTCATTTTGTGTGGTAATTGTGTATA